AGCGATCAGGCAAGGATAGCTTCATTGTAATCCCTCCATGCACGAGAGAGATGTGTGACAGGAGGATGTCGTCACAGGCTGTCCTAGGGAAAGAACACGGCATGGTGGTATCTATTTATTATATGATCTAAGCTTGCGTGCCTCTTTTTAATTTCAAATAGCGCTAAACATAGTCACTCGGGCGTTAGAAATTTGTCACTGTTTGTCAGCATTTGGAATGTATTAAAATAACGATAAAACGAATCTGATTCTCATTTATTAAAGCCAGCAAATTACGGACAACGATTAGCTCTTTGCAATAATTATTCCTGAAGTTAATAAAAAATCTTTTTGAAATTTCAAATCAATTGATGTTTTCTGCCAAAAGTTAACAAAAGTCAAAATTGCCCACTATGTTAATTTTTGAAACAAGAATTTATAAAACTTAAAAAATACATATATCCATGTAAGCTTGGATGGTGTATTTTGGGTTGCATTTCCGAATCAGTCGGGCTCGTACTCATTCGTGTAAAACCCCGTATATCCAAGACACAACATCTTTAGATGTAAGTGGATGTAAGTTTTGATACATTTTATACAAGTGGAGCGAGATAAAAAAAAATGATAATTATGACACAAACTTCCGGATAATTATTAAATATTGAAAATTACTATTTTGCTATGTCCAGTGTGTTTGTAGACGTTGTAATTTTGGGGGGTACGTGACCTTGTGCACCCATGATAGTATGAAAGAAGAGTTGTGTATGCGTGACAGAGACATAGATAGGCAAGACAGAGTATGGCGAGTATTAGGGAATCTAGGTACAATGGGGGTTATACCGTTATATTGGAGAAAGCATCAAGGAGAAAAAAGAGCTAGATTCAGATGTGGAAATAATAGGTTTTGGTTGGGTAGAAGCGGGAAAACGTTTAAGATGCGTACAGATGCGCGAGAAACGTTAATACATGCTACATGACACAATGTCGGGAAATTAACGAAGGAGAGGAGAGAGTTGAGCAGCAGTATTGAATGAACATGGAAGAGGAGTAGGGTGAACGAAAGAAGTGGAAAGGACTAGAGTAAGGCTGGGACAAGGGGGGGATGGGATAAAGGAAAAAAAACGGTTTTATAATATCATGATAGAAATGATTTTTATCAATCAAGATTCATTTAAACCCGTAGGGCAAAATTAACTGCTTTATATATTTTAAACTGAACAAGGAACGCGTTGGTCTTGCCAACATCACTATTTTAAAAATAAATTGCACGGCCTACTAGAGGAGGTTTTTTTTTGGATCACATAATATGTATTAGATATGCATATAATTTGTATATTCCAGTGCATTTATAAAGTTCGTTTACCGAACAAATGGAGTGTCACGTGTTTCACGTGTCTACAAAGTGAGCGGCCAAGCTTACAAATAATATTAAAATTGAACGCATAAAGAAAATTTGGCATATCCTTTAAAATTATATATCATGTTTTTGAAATAACATACATTATAATCTAAAATACTTCTCATAAAACAACCATTAAATTAAAATAAATTTATTGAATGTTTATGCTATAAGACGTTTCAATCGTGGCGTTACTATTATTATTATTATTACATGGTATTTAAACCAAATTATACTGTAATTGCGGATATTTTTATCACTTAATACGAAGTTTTGAATTTTTAAATTAGAAAAAAACAATTCCATCAACATAGTAAATGGAATAAATAAATGACAATTTTATAGCAGTGTAGAACTAAAAACGTGGTGATAAGTGTGCAACGACATCTTCAGTGCCATTGTGTATCGGTGGGAAATAGAATCCCCTACCAGAGACATTTATTAAAATTTTTAGGTCAGCAGTTATATAATATGTGTATTAAAAAAAACAAAGTGTTACAAATAAAAGAAATATGATATCAGCTTTCGTTTATCCCACTTTTTTACTGCCCGAGTGTAAACTAAGGAAGTGTTGTAATCGAGTCCAGCGAGTGATTTGTATTTTCTCGATCTGCCATGACCCCTAAAGTACGAAAGAATGGGTCTTCCAATTTCGTCTGTCTGTCTGTCTGCCAACTATGTCAATTTTTGTTAGACAGATAATCTCCTATAATCTCCGAAACTTCTGGACTGTTGTCAAATTTTATATGTGTAATTGTCTTATCATCCCCACCAACAATGTTATGACGTCACTTCAAAATTGTACATAGTAAATATACAATTGTATTTCAAATTATATAAAATAACACTCCTACATATTAGGGTGGCGCAAAAAAAACGACTATTTTTTTGTGTTGAGTCTCGTGTGAAAATAAGGATGTTAGTTTATCATGTTTTAAGACCCTCCTCCAAAGGACACCTCAACAAAAAATTTTTATGAGGTCGCTCCGAATTTTTAAAAACTTCCGAAATCGTCAAAAATTGATTTTCTTTTTGTTTAATTTTGTTTTTCTCGTTGCGGTAATATTTTATGGACGAAAAAAATAAGTTTCCCAAATTTTTAGCTCAAAATATTGATTTTTAAAGGGCGCTCATATTTTTTTTTAATTTACAATAGGTGTTTTCGAACGACTGTAAGCTTTAAAATTGTATACATTTACAATTTGTTTTCAGAATTCATAACAAAGTTTATATAAATGTTGTTAAAATCTCGTGGTGTATTTTCATCGATTATCTCACTAATTTAAAGATAAAACATTCATTGAAGCTTAATATAAATATTAAAAAAGTCGCTCGAAAACATCTAAGGCAATGCTCTTGTAAATTAAAAAAAATTATGAGCGACCTTTAACAATTAATATTTTGAGCTAAAACTTGAGAAACTATTTTTTTTTTTCGTCTACAAAATATTATTACCGTAACGAGCAGAACAAAATTAAACAAAAAGAAAATCAATTTTTGACCATTTGGGAACTTTTAATTTACTATTTTTAATGTACACAACTGAATACTTTGAAATCTTGCAGACGTTTTGAAGTTATCGTAAGCCTGGTAAATTTTTAATTAAAATATATTTGTCTACCCCCCTCTCCAATGATGAATCTACAGGGTGACTCAAAAAAAAATGAAATAATAAGTCAATTTATTATATCCTTCACAACATTTTGCAAAAGAAAAACTCGTTTGAAAATTTACTTTAACATTACATGTGTACATATCTTTATATTAGCCTAGGGGTTCTTATAAAAAAATAAAACGTAAAATCAAATTTTATAATTTGAAAAATCACTCCAACCATATCCAGCCATTGCAGGCATTTGTTTTAAAATGTAAGGTTATACACACAGTTTCTGTCGACCATGCCTTTTGTGTCAAATGAATTCCAACGCCTACTTCAAGTGATTTTTCAAATACCCGTTGTTTCAGGGGCGAGGAAGGTTCTGTCGAAGTAACCTTCGACCAATTTTTAGAAGGTTTTCGTTTCTCAGTATTTCAATTATAACTCGAATATTTTTCCCGAAGGCTAACCAGCAAAAGCCATTTTACAATAGCCACAAATTCGGTTACTGTGCTGTCCAACTATAATCACCTCATAAAATTGTAGTGGATGCAAAAATAACGTTCTGAGTATAAGCTAATGCTTGAGACCGAACCAAAGGTGTCGCTTAAACTTTGATTTTAATCAATTTTCGCCTTTATGTGGCGGTATCATTATAAACAATATAGCCAAAACGTTTGGGGTGCCTTATCTATCAGTTATCAGTGTTATTACAAAATAGACCTCAAGTGCAGTCGCGTACAGTTAATCCGATTGGGAATAACATGTGGTTTAAAATACATATATGTATTAAGTACATGGTAGAACTTTAAATCAAATTGTCAAAAAATATCTATATAAGTCAATAAAAATATTGTTGATAATAAGAAACAGCCTTCACTTGATTATAAGCAATTTGACCATGTGAATTGAATAGGCAATGAAAACACTGATCGTGTTGCGAAAAATAGGCCTGAAGCGTTTTCAAACCAAGACTCAAAGGTTGTGTCATTATTTCAGTTCTTAATTGTTACTAAAGATTTGTAAAAAATTGTAAAATAAAAACAAGATGTGTTTATTTGCAATTTAATTAAAAAAAAAAACAAAAAAACGAATGCACTGCCCGGGAATCGAACCCGGGTCGCAAGAATGGGAATCTTGCATGATACCACTACACTAGCAGTGCTACGCATGCAGAGTGGAAACATTAGGTACTTCTAGTCGAACTTTAATCCAGTATTAAATAAAATGAAGCAAATTGTATTAATTACAAACGACGATTAAACATACCAGTTAACAGAACCTTTAAATATGAAATAAATCATGAAATGAAAAATAAAATAGCCATTCTTTAAAAATAGAAAACATACATTTTTAATAGTGTAACAACTAGAGTTTTACATAAGTAAATTTTAACGTTTAAAAAATTAATTTCGTAATTCGTATATCAACAAAATTTGTAAATACTTGCAAAAAAAGTTTCCTTCGAGCCGGATTTGAACCAGCGACCTATGGATGTCTATCGAACGTGCCACTACAGTCCACCGCTCTACCAACTGAGCTATCGAAGGTTGCTGTGTGAGTTGCTTTAACGAATATTTATAGTGCACATTAAAAATTTAAACGTAAACAAAAAATTTAAATATAAATTGACGTTAATTAAACAAATTAAACGCTATAAATTTCCAGTTTCACTGCAATTTTATTTTAATTTTATACCTTATCGTTTACGCGAGCTATAAATACTCCACTAACCTGGCGCATGATAATAAGTAATTACCTAGGAATCTAATAATCACATGATAACGTAGAAACACGTCATTACGTATAGTATATTATAAAAATAAAACATATGTGCTTACTCCGTTACCTCCGAACAGGAAAAAAAAGAGTGCCGCCCGAGCAGGGACTTGAACCCTGGACCCTTGGATTAAAAGTCCAATGCTCTACCGACTGAGCTACCCGGGCTTGTACTTCATTGCTACTCCGAGTTATTTTTAAGCGACTTAACAATTATATTGCTTAATTTTAGAAAACGAAACTTACCGAAAAGTATTCAATTTTTCGATAGCTTTTCCAACCACTGTCTTTTTCAAAGGAGTAGGACTAGTTCCTGGAGTGCTATTTTCCGAATTGATCCTCTCGTCGGCCACCAAGGCCCTAGCCAATTGCATATCACCTTCGTTCATTTTTTCCTAGCACTTCACTCCACCGAAGAACAAACCCGCACCAAAACTGAGTTCTAATAATTGTGCACCGGTGCTCCTCGAACTAATTGGTACTTACAGCACACCTAACATTTGCTAAGATCAAGGCAAATGAAAAATCATAATCGCAGTAAGTACGGCCCTGACCTAAATAAATCGCAGATAAATAGGTGGGCGCGCTTTTGTTTTGTGTAGGGCAGGGTCAGGCTTTCTTTCTCTTGAGGTCACTTATTTTAAGATTGGCGCCTTTTCACTGTCACTGCGAGACTGAATTTTTTTCGTCGTGATAAGCGTGAGTCTGTTTTTGTTTTGAAACCGGCTTCGGAGGAGTTTGGCCAACAACTAATCTGAACTTGCCTTAAACGGTTACGTGTTGTGTGTGCGACTGTCTTTTTTTATTTGAAATTAACCTGACGCTTAATAAATTAAAATAAAAATCTAGTACAAGAACCGCTCGAAGCAGTCTCATTATTATGAAACCTGTGAAGGAAAACATTTATTATTTTAATGAGGTGTGTTTTCCTGGTGGTTTTGCGATAAGAGAACGTGGAATGGATGGAGCGTGGTTTTTAAATCGGAAAGTTTGATAGATAAAAACGTAAAAACCTCCAAAACTGAAACCCGCTTCTTAAAAAACTTAAAAAATTACTTAGAGCGAAATTCTGCAAAAGTAGGTTTTTCATTAATCATACGGTGAAGGTGTCGAAAAACAGTTTAAATTCGAATAAAAAAATATACATTATTTGATTATTATTAAAATGCACACTGATGTAACGTATTCCAATAATTTTAGTCGTTTAGTGTATAATTAATAGATAAAATGGCGTCATTAACATTTCTTAATGGGATAACATTACATTTAATCACTCTTAAAAAATCACTGTTGGGTTAGATTTGGTTAGAATTTTATCACTAATAACCGTATTAATTTTATCTTAATCACTATTCGCCTTTCCTTTGATTACTGTTATATGTATTCATTAAATATCCCGTAAAATCGTCTTTTTTGTGACTCAAATTCATTAATTATTATTAAGCAATTAATTAAGCATGTTATTTATTTATTTTAATTTCCAGAAATACATATATCTACATTTAAGAAAGTATACTGAAAACAATGCTTCCTCTACTGCTGACACCTTGTAATTTTTGCTCGCTTACTTAGTTCTTTTTTAAACTGTGATACGCCCATTTTAGTTGTGCTAAGTAGAGTTCCATACATTTTGCGAAAAAACGGCGATTAGTTTAGGTCTTATCAATCCTAACAAGAATCAAACTGACCACAATGTGTATATCTATACTTGTGAAACCGGCCTGTCCGAACTGCGGTGGATTTTTAATCCTCGACCGAATTGCGGTTCAACATTTTTTGACTACCTGGTATCTTATAGACAATTTTAGATTCTATAAACATATGTCTATGAAGTACATCCTTTGCAATATATCGTTTTTCGGTTTTATCCACAGAATTTATTTTTATAATTACCAAAATTAAGCAGGTATGGGTGCACTTGCGCCCTGCCTCCTAATCCCGAATGGAAATGTACCGCAGTTCGGTCAACTGTACCTGACTACCTGATATGTACTTGACAAAAGTTTTTACCACAATTCGGTCAATAGTATCCATAATTATGTATACCTGGGTACCTGACATTTGAGCAAAATTTCCACCGCAGTTCCTATACGACCTGTAAAGCATCAGCATCAACCGTGGCAGGCATCTTCCGGAAACCCGTTTGGACAACAGCTGTTATATAAATAAATAAACTTCTAATTTGTGAAAATATAGAAAGTTGAACAATTAAATATGTATGGTTGTAAGGATTTCTAAATTGTTCTGATTTTAATAAATCTGAACGATTTATACGTACTCGTAGGTATAAAAAAATAATAATAAAAGGGGAGTAAAAATTAAGATAATCCATCAGTTTTTTGTTTTTTTTTTTTGAGGACAGAAACTGGTGAACTTGACTAATGGATTAACCTCTAATCTTCGTAATAGTCTTTAATTGTTTATAAAATTTAGTTGTGGTAGCCAGTGTCGGATTGAGGACATGGATCCATCACCGGGAAATTTACAAAGTGAGGCCCTATGTGACGCTACCAAAAAAACAAAGCTAGTAAAAAAATTGTGGAAAGTTATTTTGACAGAACTTTCCTCGCCCTTGAAGTATAATCCGACAAATTCCGCTTCATTAAAAAATTATAAAATTAAATAGATTTGTAATTTTTTTTTTTGATTACGTTCCCCTACAGTGGTAACTGTTAACCTTTATAAAGTGGTGTAATTAACTTCCCCGCAACCCCTGCGTCTTTAAATATGAAATATAATTAAAGCAGATAACTAACGGGAAAAAATGTAGAGATTCTCATTTTCTCAGTAACTTATTTCAAAGTTAAATTGTAAAATATTTTTATATAATGTTGTTTTTTTTTTTAAATTTGGATATTAAGGGTACAAAATCAACACGGCTTCATAAATCACACATGCAGGAATACGTTATTTTATAAAATTTAAAGAATATTTGTTGGACAAAATCCTAACATGACGTCATAATTTTTTAGGGAGGGGAAGAAACAAATTTTGATTAACGATTTATGATCTTTCCTATAATCGTAAAACGTTTTCAATATTTCGGTACATTCGCTTTTGCAATTTTAAAGTTAAATTGTAAAATACAATTTTAATAACGGTTTACCATGCTTACGATGTTCTTAAAAAACTTGCAAGTTTTCAGAGCATTCTATTTTACAATTTCAAAATTAAATTAAGTATAAAATGTTATTATAAAATTTTGACTTTTTCCCCAAAAATCTGGATGTCTAGGGTAAAAACTTGACATGGATTCATGAATCACACAGGCAGGAGTATGCCATCTATAAAAATTAAATATACTTAATACTAAAAAAAAGGGGCAAATTAGTAATAAGCAAAATGCTACGTGTGACCCCACATTTTGTTTTTTAATTTACTATAAAGTGCTTTATCATTTTTTAAGAAAACAGACTAATTTAGACGTTGAAATTTGTTTTTGTGAAAATCTCAAAAAATCCTAGTCAAAATTTTTAGAAATGCACAACTTTAAAAAAAAATAACCTTAAAAATGGGGTGAAATGTTAAAAAAAATGCATTAAAAAAATTTCACGACAAAAATTTACTTTTTTTATTTTATAAAAAAAGTATTAAAAAAACTTCAACGTCAAAATTGGCCTGTTTAATTAATAAAATATACAGCACCTTAAAATAGATGACGAAACAGGTAAAAAATTAGCTTAAATAGATAAAAAAAAGTGGGATGAAACGTACTGTTACTTTGATCGGTGAATAAAATCTACGTGGGTAAAACTCAACAATTTATTTCTTAATAACTCGAATTACACAACTGATTATTACACAGTAATTATAATTCCGGCACACCTTGACTGTACTCTCGTGGACTCGATTGATTGAGTAATCCGTTCTAGATGTGCGACGGTCGAGATCTTTCTGGATTGGCGTTCGAGACTTCCGCTTCCAGGTTTTTCTCTACCGATCCGCCGCTCGGTCGCTTTGATGATGAGTGATTATCGGCGTACAGACCAGAAAGTTCTCGACGGCCCATAGGCGTCATAACAGTACCATTTTACTTTGTACTGATCTCAGCTTAGAAATTTCATCTAAAACGTCCTATAATCCAATCTTTAAACCTGAGTCATTCAGATGTGAACTGGATTTCAAATAACAAACAATGCTTTTAGAATCACCAAAATTTATATTTGGTAAAAATAAATTAAAGAAATTCAACGAAATTATAAAAAGGTGTCATATTATTGTTTTAGAGGGGAGTACACGAAAAAAGATTGATTAATGGTTTACCGTGCTTACGATAACCTCAAAATGTTTGCAAAATTTCAGAGCATTCGATTTTGCAGTTTCAAACTTAAATTGCAAGATGTTGCAATTTTGTTTTTTTTTCCTCTAAAAATTTAGATGTCTAGGATAAAAATTTAACAAGGGGTCATAAAACACATTTGCAGAAGTATCTTATTTTATAAAATTTAAATAATATTTAGTACTGTAAATTATGGCGGTGACGTCAACAAATTGTTGGTAGGGATGATTAGCCAAATTTTTGCTTAATAAAATCACAACAAAACCTTGGAGACATAAATATGGAATGGCTTACATAATATATCTTTTGTGTACATTTTGACATTTTAGGTTTAAATGTTTCAATTTTCGAATGAAATTTAGAGAATTAGAGCTATATAAACTCTGAAAAATGTTTTTTCTTTGTAAATTGACTTTGTTATGGTTAGTTTTATACTACAGGCAATAATGAGTGATGTCATTTAAGTGGACTTTTCAAATACAAATTATTTTGCAGAGGTTGGTACTTTGTACTAGGGTCCAGGGACTCCAGGGATTCAGAGTAGGTAAGTTATATTTTCAATGAAAGAAACCAGCATGAGAGGATTTTTGACTTGAACTTATACTCTAACTACTTAAAATGTTTACATGTTTACAATTGCATTTTTTCTTTTCTATCCACTTATTATCTTGCTTTTTTCCAAGGTAATTATTGTTTATTTTAACGTGAAATTTAAACGACTTCCATCACGGAACTGGTTTTCAAGTAAAAGTAATGAAACCATTACAAGTAAATTTTATTGAACAAACAGAATATGTTTGTTGGTGATGGTTGGCTTCACTGCATGAGTCAATTAGGCTTTTAGAACACATTTAATGGTATCACTTTTCATTATTTTAAAAGCAACTGTAAATTATTCTAAAAGTGGTACTCAATCTAAAGACATAGATAAGGCCAAAAATATTAATTACTTTAAGTAGGTAGATTTATATTTTGGACACATATTTACTCTTTTAAGGCATGATGAAGGTCAAAAATAAAACTTCTTGAAAGTATAAGTTTTCATGACATTTATGCACGAATAAAGTGCAAATTACTTTCCACGATTTGTGTATCGAATTCGATGAATAACATAAAAAATTCGTTCTCCACAGAGGACTTAACAGAAATGGTGGTCATTTTTCAACGCCCTATTATTAATACTAAATTATATAATAAAAAATGTGTCCTCGTACATATTGTGTTACCGCCCTATTTCTGAAGCACATGCATGAATTAAAACAATGAATCAAAATCTTAATTACCATGTATTGTGTCGATGTCATGGTCAATTTTTTATTAGAGTTTTTATTTGAGTAGGTATCCATGACTAACGAGAACTTTCATCGTAAAATATGTAACAATTCTAGCACAACTCGGTAACTTGTTTGATATCTGTTTTTTACAGCACTGAAAATAGATCAAAATGTCTTAATAAAAAGTCAGCCACCATATGATCTCAAACTTTTTTAGTTACAGTAAACTATGAAATGCACCGTGTAGTTGGCATCACTGATTTGGAAATGATGGCTGCCTTTTAAATAGGCCCGTTTGTGGCAAATACTTACACATATATTTACATAAAATATAATTATAATGTCATATAGAAATCAGTGATACCAACTATATGGTGTATGTCTTGTCAACTACAACTCCAAAGGTTTTAATCGTACTGTGTCTTTTTACCTGAAACATAGATTTTTAGAAAAAATCAAAATTATATAACATTTTGCAATTTAACTTTGAAACTACGAAACCGAATACTCTGAAATCTTGCACACGTTTTGAGGTTATCTTAAGCATGTTAATGGTTAATCAAAATTTGTTTGTTTATGCCCCCCCACCCAGAAAAAGGGTGATGTCATATTACAATTTTGCCAAATAAATATTCTTTAAATTTTATAGAATTACATACTCCTGTATGTGTGATTTTTACAACATTTCAGAAATTGTAATTTAAAAGACGTAAAAATGTATTTACAAATTCACATTTTTTTAAACATACACAATACAACCACGCACAATCGATTAAAGAATTAGAAAGCATTGAATATTTCATACAAAATACAACATCACGACTTCACTCACCTAAAATTTATTGCAAAAAAAAATCAAGAGGTCACCGCTACAATAAATAATGAATAATAAAATAACCATTTACCTTAACGATATGTTGTTAACGATTTCACTTTTGGTTTTTATGTTTTAAAAAACTAAACAAAGCAGATAAAACCTTGTACAGCATTACCTAGACAAATGAATCATAAACGCAAGTGTGAAACGCTAAAATACTAAATAAATCTGTAAAATTATTTACCCCGACCCCTGGGAACAAAGTAGAGTCTAGGAAATAGTGAATATTGACTTTCCAAAAGTGTTTATTGCAGGTGCCAAAGTAATTGCTCAGGATTATAGTAGCGACAGTTTACAATACTTGTCTGATTTTGGGTTGCTTGTCCGAATGGATCAAGGGTTTTGGGAATCAGACGTCTTTGACCTATAATCTTTTAAAGTAAATAGTGAAACCAACGGTGTTTATGGAAAGAAATTTATAGACAAATTCAGATAAAGCTAAAGATACCTCTTAAAATAATCATTGTCAAGTGATCTTTCATTGTGAAAGAATAAATGCCTAAAAAATGTATCCATGATGCACCTTTGGTCCCTTTTTAATCCTAAATGATTCATTGAGGGCTTACATTAAACAGTTTGGCAACACAAAGTCAATGTTCACTATTTCCTAGACTCTACTCTAATTCCATTACGGAATTATCTTTTTTAATACCATTTTTAAAATACTGGCGTGTCCGAAATATCTTCGGAATATTTTACATACGCGTCTTTAACCAGTTGATATAATTCTTTGTCAGAAGTATTATTTAAACATTTGCAGACAAAACGTGAAAAGTTTGGTAAATCTGATGAAGTCTTCAGAACGCTTTGCTTCATTTTAGTTTAATTAATAAATTTAGTCGCTTCCTCTGTTTTTAGGAGACAAAATCATTCAAATCAAACAGCGTCCTTAATCCTCGATGTATAAACATAAACAATCGAACTTAAGCATATACTGATAATATATTTCTGACGCTGTCTAAAAACAAAATTGATATACCTAACTACTGAGCCTGTCATATGCTTACATGTGTGTTTATATATGTACTTATATGTGTAAGTATGTAATAAAGTTTTAGGTAAGTTTGTTTTGCATCAAAGCTGTAACAATATTACATTTACCTTTCAAAACACAAGCACCAATAAGAAATTCTGCTTGACAATAAGTTTGTTTGTGAACCACAAAGGCGTTAATTGTTAGATTTTCAAAAAAAACTGTTTCATTTTAAATCATATGATACATATGTGAAAAATAAACAATGAAAGTTAAGTAAATATTTTCTTAAAACTTATTGTCGCTCATATGATCATCATGTGCATCACATTGTCGTGCAAATTACTGTTCTCCACCAATGAAAATGAGAAATCTAAAAAACGCAACACGCAGTTGCCAGTTTGTATACCGCAGTATATAGGGTGACAATAATTTACACCACAGTGCACGTGTACGGCTGATATTTGTTACTAAATACTTGTTAATGAATGTCACAAATTGGGATTCCTGCAACACTCAGCGGAAAATAGTGAAAGGAAGCAATTTTATTTAAATTTAACAATCGTTAAATTCCGCCCAAGTTCGTCTACCATCCGACGATTCTCCAGCCCAAATCCACAAATCACAAACCCAACTTAGCCTCATCTCCCCTATTACAGCTAATCAGCTGTCAAAAAAGATGGAGGAGTTACAGCTGTCAGAAACTTTACAACGATATTTTTCCGATGTTTTCCTATGTTGCGATGAAGAAAAATCCGGAAACGCCTCCCTGACCAAAACCGTCGAACTAATCAAATCCGGAAATGTGCCGGAGGACGTCATATCCCAAGTAAGTACGACAACGTACTTAACCTAACTTTTTGACATTTCGCTTGTCAGATTTCAGAGATCTGTTGGGGCCAAAACACGACCAGTCTGACTAGGAAACAATTTTTTTCCGCTTTGAAATTAGTAGCGGCGTACCAAGCCAATATCCCCATACAATCCGAGATAGTAACTTCCAATTTGGAGCTGCCTTTACCCAGGTTTACTTGGAACAACCTGGAGAATGAAGCGCAGATTCCTGATTTAATTGAACTGAGGAACGATGCCAATGATTACGTTGAGCAGGTTGATGCTAACAGTACTGATTCGGAGGTTGATAGTGATACGCTTAGTATAGTTAGGAATGGTTCACCTGAAATATCTAGTACGGCTTCCGACAGCCCAACGCCCACGAACAGTGTGCAGGATAGGAGTTGGGCGGTCGGTGGTGCATGGCAAGGTTTAGTATCCGAAGAACAACGACAGCTTCTAGGTAAGTCAATCATGATTTTAAAATAATTTACACAAATCAAGAGTTTTTCCGTAATTTTTGCAAAACTTTATTTGATTTGTTTTTAATATTTCCCTTGTTTAATTTTATCACAGTTAATATTTTATAATGTATTAAAATGTAAAATGAAGCTTACTGATTATAACTTTCTAAAAATTTTAGATGAAATAATTATAATAATTAAAATAAACTGTTGATAAATTGAAACATTAGATTCATGAAATTTTTATTTGCATTGGTAATTAAGAAAAAATAGAAAGAATATCGTCATATATGTAGATTGAAGATTCGCTATGCACTAGATACTTCATGACGTCATCATTTTTCATGGAACATGTAGGTATTTATTTTTTTAGATTCGGTAATGGCTGTTCAAGATTACAGAAACAGTTTTTTTAAATTCTGATTAAAAAACTTGCTTAATGTAAACAGTGACGGATATCCTTGATGCATTTTTAATAACTGTTCATTATTACTAAAGGATTGTGAAGATTACTTGTCTTTAATTCATGTTTAACTATCATATTTCAATAATTTCATGTTAACTAATAAGACGACAGTCCTTAAGAAACCGATGTAGTATATCTCTGTCGTTTATTAAATTCATCAAGTAAATTATGTATAAAATTTTATTTAATTTATACCATAAGAAGCGCGTGCAACAAAATATCTTAAAATAACCCTATTTTGGGATCTTGTTGTGAACTACCCTGACTGTGATTACGTCCTGGCTACAAAGGTTTTGTAAACACAAACATAGTGACAGTTTGGGCAAAATCGCTCTTATAATGTAATGTGAAAAAGAACTAGATTTAAAATTAACCGCGTAGGAGGTATTTTCTACGTCATCAACATGTCTCTCCAAGGTCATGATATACCCTAACCTAATCACTATAAAGGGACCTTGGGGTACATTATTTGAAAAATAAAAGAAAATTGTTTCCAGAGAAAACGGACTGCAGTCCAAGAGACCTTACGAAAATTTTAAGTATGTATAGGGGAAACCTTAAATAATACAATGGTAAATGTTGTGGGTGTTCTTTACGACGTTCTTCAAAAACGTAAAACAATCAAACGAACCATTAAGTCAATTGATATCTGTGAAAAAAAAAGTGTAAAACAATGTTATCTGAAAAACTAATTTTATTTTAAGCGATCCAGAAATAACTCTCCTTTTTTAAACTTTGTTAAATTCTCGGAATTTCGGGCATTGAAGGAAGATTATAAGCATCTCTCAATATTATTCTATTATCACTTGTCAAACAAAAAATTCATACAACAAGAATTGGTCCAAGGTTACTTCGAGAGAACTTCCCTCGTCTTTGAAGTACAGTCCAACGAATTCCACTTCTTTGAAAAAATATAAAAAATGTTTGTTTTCTGATAACCTTTATACAGACTCTCTAGAAATTATGGAAACGGTTAAATATCGTGAGAACCAGTTGTACAAATCAATTGAAATTAGATATAGTGGTATAAGAAGTTGTGCTCTAATTTTTCGTCACACAAACACATCAAATAAAATGGTAACCGCTTCGCAGGTACGACTAATAGATTTTTGCTGTCCAATTTTTAGAAATTACTAAGTATTATTCTAAGTAGGTCCGTGACAAATTGTAAACAGCAAATAGACAGACAAAGTCATAAAAATTCCTCGATTCTTTTCGGTGAACGGATGAACCGTCGTCAATAGCACCCTCCAATCCCTGCGCACCGGGAACGCAAATTTCGATTATTATTTTATCATTATTAAATATCGCCGGGCGCATTCTCTATTTTCAAGAAATCAGGGGGACTCATTTTTAATTTGATGAATAAACAATTCCGTGATGACGTGATTAACATAGATAATAATACTAGTAACAGACCATTACCAATGCAAGACAAAAAACACAAAAGTGGCCATTCGTCCAATGGATTCAATTACTATATTTCCTTAGCTTACGCTCGGGAAGTAAAAATTGTTTTGATTTGAATGAGTTGGTCGCCTCAAAACATAGGACTAAAATTATTGATAAAATCGAACCGGATGTTCTGAATATTATTATTATTATTTTTATTAAATAAATTTCATCCAAATAAAAATTGCTATGACGTAATAAATGTAGATAATACACAATGCGAGAGAAAAAAAAGAAAAAAAAACGAAAAGCCAAGTTTGGAATCGAACGGTCGGTATTTCTCACGCTCAACCACTAAGCCACGACCGGGATGCTTTACGCTAATGGTAAACTACTATTATACCGTGCATTATGTTTTGGCAAAAATTTGGACTCAAAGCGGATTCGTAAACCACACTTATTCAGAAGTATATTGTTGTATAACAGTTAAATCAAATAAACATAGAATTTTTTGAAATGACGTCATCAAATTGTTAGGAACGATTAGCAAAATTTTGGTTAGTTTTTAATCATCTACATGATACGTCTAATATATGTACAAAATTTGACAACAATAGGTCCAGCAGTTTCGGAGATTACGTGTGTAATAAAAATGGATGCAGACAGACAGACGGAAATGAGAGACTACTTTTTTCGTACTGTAGGGGTCATGAAACGTCGAGAAAATATAAAAGTGGTCATTCGTCCGATGGACTCGATTACTATACTTCTTTAGCTCACGCTCCGGAAATAAAAAATAATCAATAATCATTCATTCTTTTTATGTGCCAACTTTAATTTTATTAACGATAAATTGATGATATTTCAGTGTTAAACTCAACATCGACGAGCGCAACTTTTTGCATATAACCATCACTCGGTATTTCAAACTTTGAAATAATTCTTACTAGGTATGTGTCGTGATTTCGAATCGAATTAAATATTTCAACACTTCCGGAGTTGTTGAAATCTTTTCGTCTTTATCGAAATGTAATGACGTCACATCACAAAATGGCGGTGTCAAAACTCTTTCGAGTCGAAATAACTGTTATAATGAGATGAAAGGAAACAAGCAAAATTAAATTATGCCACACTCTCTCAAGAATTTCAAACATCATTAAATGATGTTAAATTCTGCATTAATTCAAATGAAAATGAAGTTGATTAAGATTATATGGTCACGTTGAACGAGTATTTAAAATCGGCGTGGGTAAAACTCAACAATTTATTTCTCAATAATTCAACTTTGCACGACTGATTACGCAGCGATGATGAACAAAATAATTCCGGCACAACTTTACTGGACTCTATTTCGCACAACTTGTCTCGTTAACTGAATAATAATCGTTCCCGAAGATGGCCTCTATTTAAACCTCTACTCTCTTTCTAGAGGTTTCGTGATCGACGTCTTTCAGGCGACTTCCGCTTCCAGGTTTTTCTTTAGCGAACGCCGGTGGGCTACCGTCACCGACGATGAGTCACCCATCATCGACGCACATACTAGAAAACCCATAGGCGTCGTACCAGGGCGGAGTATGGGTTTATTTCGTAACCATATCATGGATTCAATAACATAAACACGTACAACAAAACACATGAAAGAAACACAACAGGCACAATTTAAATACGGTCAAAATCAAAATAATAATTCGAGAATAAATCTTCAAATTCAAGCTGTGAGAAAATAATTCGGACGTAAGAAAATAAGATGTTTACATTATTATTATACAAAATAAACATAAAATACACTGTACTTTTTGATATTAATTTAACTGATGATAATTTTCAAGGTATTTTCTTTCAAAATGGATCAACGTTTAAGATATTTAGTTTAAATGCCATAAATGAACTATTTTAAATTTCGAGTGAAAAGTGATGAAGTGTGAATGACTCCTCATATTTTGCACATTTTGGATAGGATTTATTCGGCAAAATTTTAAGGTGCCGTCATAAATTTTTTGGGAGGGGATAAACGAATAAATTTTGCTTAACGATTTACCATGATTACGATAACTTTAAAATATTTACAAAATTTCAGAGCAATTGGTTTTGCAGTTTCAAAGTTATGTTGCAAATTTACTATTCAGTTTTGAATTTTTTCCAAAAATTTTGGATGTGTAAGGTGAAAATTCGACACCGATTCACACACCACAAGTGCAGGCGTATCTTCTTTTATAAAATTAATAAAATTTATAATAAAAAACTTTATTATAAATTTTGGAGGTGACGTCATCCCATTGATTGTGGGGATGATTAGCCAAATTTTAGTTAGCGTTTAACCATCTACATGATATTTCTAATATACATACAAAATATGACAACATCGGTCCAGTAGTTTCGGAGATTAGTTGCCTAATAAAAATGGATACAGACACCAGACAGACAGACGGAAACGGGAGACTACTTTTTCGTACTCTAGAGGTCATGACACGTCGAGAAAATCTAAAAGTGGCAATTAGCTTACGCTCGGGAAGTAAAAATTTTAAACTTAACCAATTGTTAGACCACTTTAAACGGACACGTTCTTACCCTATCAACAATTACTTAAATTACCTTGGATTTACAAATAACTGTTCAATAACTCACAGCCCGGGAACAGCACCTCTCGGATCTTTAGGGTGACTCTCTTAAAATGCTAAAATTGCCACACAGACGCTCTCCTTAAGTAAAAACATCCAGAACTGTTAGTCATTAAAATAAGTTGAGCCCGAATAAGTGAATCAAAGTTTTACACATTTCAGATTAGAAAGTCATTAATAAAATGATTTTATATTAATTACACTTGTTGAAGACGACTTTGGCGTCGAATGCGATTAATTTTTATGTATACAATTATTATTTATGAAATTTCAAACAAAATTGCTTATCAATTTTAACAAGTAGTGAGTGACCTTCCAAAAATCTGTGTTCGGACGCCCCTACCAACCTAAAAGATGACATTTACTAATTCTACTAAATACTCTAACCATGCATGGGTGATTGCCTACATTATTGAATGTAGTTTCAATATCAAATTCAGGACACTGCAGTATTTTTTAAAATTTTGAAATTAACTCTAGCGTTAATCAACTTATTTATATTGTCGAAGAATACTGATGATAAGTTTAAATAATAATGGGTACATATTATATGGACCTACTTTCATAACAAAAAATATTTATAAACATGATATTTTAAGTTAATGTTTCTTAAACTGTTTATAAAGCAATATTAATCCCGATAAAAATAAAGAGCAACACAAGGTTACTTTATAGTGACACTTATTATAAAGTAACCTTGAGAGCAACAGTATTAAACATATTAAAAACAATTTTGTAATAATAAAATTTAGGTTGCCCTGTTCTTATCTTAAAACCATTAAGTCAATATTAAAAAATATTGAAAAATTACGAGTATTAATTGGGAAGTGAAAAAAATTAGAAGGCCAATTTAATGATATTCTTTTTTTTTTAATATATGTTCAACCTGACTAAAATATAATTTAAAAAAAACAAGGGACAAACTCAGTTTCCTTCATTAATATCTCATTTGTTAATTGTTCGTTAATATTTCAGGTACTGAAGAAGAATCGAGTGATAGACACAGTAGCGAAGAGGACACCGAAGTCAGCTCGGAAATATGGACGATCAATCCCGAACAACGCGAATACTACACTAATCAATTCCGATCCCTCCAGCCAGACACTAATGCCTTACTAGCTGGACCAGTAGCTCGAATGTTTTTCGAAAAATCCCGCCTTCCCGTACACGAACTCCGCAAAATATGGCAGCTAGCAGACGTCACAAAAGATGGCGCCCTCAGCTTACAAGAATTCAACACGGCCATGCACTTGGTCGTCCTCAGGCGCAACCACATAGAGCTCCCCGACGTCCTCCCTCCGACCCTCATCCCCGGCAACGAAAGTCCCCTTTCCGTCAGCCCGGAGACCGAACCCATGCTATCTCCCCAAACGAAAGACACCGCCAAAGAATGGACGAAATTCGTCGACAGTCCAACGAGCTCCGTTTCATCGCCGGGTCCGAAACCTGTCAATTTCGACTTTCAGAAAATCACTTTGGACAAAGACTCGAAAATTCTACATCCCGTGCCACTGAGGCTAACACCGGAGACTTCCGCCGCCGTGGCGCCACCTGGAGAAGATCTAGTCGACAGCATTGAAGCGCACAGTCCCAAGAAATTCATCGACGTTTCGAACAATCCACAAAACAACAACAACAGTGCTATTCAGAGACCTCAACCGAAGAAAATCAGCATACCTGGTCCAGGGGCGATCCCGCCACCGCCCACTAGTCAGAGCAGCGTGGAGGAGGGGCCGGTGAGTCTCCCCGCCTTCCCTCCGCCGAAAAAGGAGAAGCCGCCGCCTCCTCCGCCTCGACCGTTCAAGAGCCACGGCCGGAGTTCCTCGCTGGACCTGAATAGGCTGAGTAAGCTGGGAGCTCCGCCCACCGTTCCGCCCAGGATCAGCCCCAACATACAGTCCTCCAAGAAATTGATCAATCAGAGGTCCGAAGGCGACACTGGAGCCGTGGAGAACGCGTTCGCCGCCAATTTTGATAACTTCGAGAAGTACGAGAACGTGGACGAAGGGATCTTCCCCGGGGATTTGTACGAAGCTGAGCGGAAGAAGATTTTCGCCAAGTTCACGGCAGGGAATAGCGAATTACCGAGAAAGCATGGTGCTTTTGAGGTGTATAGGAAACCGGCCAAAAGTCAGGAGAGCCCGATCAGCGGAGAGGATAAAGCTAAGTGGGAGTTGTTCCAGAAGTTGCAGGAGGAGAATACCGTGTTGTTGAGGATTTGCCAAGAGTTGAGTCAGGAGCTGGCGGATATTAGGGAAGAGAAGATGACGCTTAAGCTTAGGTTAGAAAAGCAGATGAATATGGGATAGTTTTATCAGGTGTGTTAGTTCTACAAAGTACCCGTAAGGCGTCCTCGATTAAATCAAAGAAATACTTTTAAGTTGAATCTCCAGGTATTATTAGGCCGACAGTGCCATAAACTGCCTATCGTGAATCTTTGAATTGTTCAATTATTATCTAATTTGATTATTGAGTGAAGAATATTTTTTTAATATAACGTTATCAAATGAAATTTGAAGATCTTCTATTATGTATAAATTATACTGTTGTTCAGAATTTAATTTTATTTATATTTACGGCTCTATAGCAGCAAAGTCTTATATTTTTCGTGTAGCTATAGGAAGACTGTATTTTAAAATTAAATAAAACTTAAAGATCAATAATTGTCCAGTTGTAGTATTTGTAAAGCGAGAATGGGTGCTTCTGGTTGTTTTACTGAAGGTGTGTCACGTGGCTTGAAGTTCAAGCCAAAATGGTCTTTATGCGCTCCCACTCAAACTGACGTGAATGTACAGTTTAACCATCCACAAAAATTGTTACGGATGCTGAAGATAATACAATTAAATAAATAAAGTACAAACAACTTTATGATAAACAAATGACATTTATACCATGTTCATCAGACTGTCACTTAATATACACAATATAGCGGGGGGTAACAAAATAGATTTAGATTTAGCCTTCTAAGAAGCTGTTAAAACGTTACACTGTCCAGAAATTCTGTAACAGTTGTAGGAAAAAAATGTCAAAAAAATTGTATTCACATTAAACAATGACCCTAATCTAGTACCATGTAAACAAATATATATTAATTCAGATGTAGCGTGGATTATAGGTTTTGTGGTCGTAAAACACATTCTCATTTTAGAGAACAATAAGTATGACTCATTTAGAAAATATGATTCAAAAGTTTTATTGTAAATAAGTTTGTGGGGGAAATGTAGCTCTTGAATAATAATTTTATTGTCATGATACAAAGATTTGGTGCGAACTGAGTATTTGTTGAGTACACTTTTATTTCTATTATATTTTGAGGTACACTTTAGAAAATTTGTACATTGTACAGTGCCATAAAGTGACAAAGTCTACTATTAAAATATTGTTTACAAGGCAAAATACTTCCAGGAAACTGAAACTGATGCTAAAAAATACACAAACACTAAAGAAATTCAGGAAAGATAACAATAGTAACTAATTTATTATTTCTTATGACAAGGTTTTAAGAACAATTGTGTTAAAAATATTAATGCAGGTTAACTGCAACTACGACGCTCTCAGGTGTCTGTAATAAAAAATGAACATTTGGAATGTATTCGCGTATTTAAGCAATGACGATTAACTTCTTTACAAATAAGAATCCCGTCTTCCTTTTTTGTTCAACTGAATTAAATTTAAACCAAGGTTGTCTGGGGTTAATTCATAGGGAACTGACCATCACAATACCATCACGTGAGAACAACGTCATGCAAATTCAAAACTGTCTGTAAATTGTTATTCTGATAACCCAAATATCCCGCCAAAATTTGACATGTGAAGAAAATTTTAAAACCCGCGAAAATTTAAAGATCTGGCCTCGAACTTTGATCGTCAACAACTACGTTGTGCGCTTTTTTTTATGGCGGAATGCGTTCAAATGCAAGTGGAGGTGAACTCTAAGGTTGGAAAAGCGTCCCTAAATCAAACAGAAAATATGGAGGTACAAAAAAAGCTACAACTAAGGGCACTTTGGGCAGGTTGAGTACCCCTTAGTTGTCGCCTACAAAAAAAACTGCCTAACTTTCCAATTGTAGTCAATTCAAACGTTCCAAATCAATGCAACATAAATTTAAAAGAATAAAGAAAAATCTGAATTAGGGTAACTGGATGTCAGTACACAAGTTATTACAAGTGTGTGGTGGCAAATTAAATATAAACAATACTAGAGTCTGTATCCGGGGTCCAAATGGTAGATCATAGATAACGGTTATTGAATCAGTTCTCAAGAGCTAAAATCCTCCCTGTTAACATTGCCGCGATTGACTGAGGAACTTTATTTCGTGCCTTTTGTTGATTTTTGATTGAAAGTGTTAAATTGGGAACAAATAATAGAAAAGTGTCCGTGCTGACATTGCTTTAAAGGACCGTATTAATCTTACATTTGTACTCCCCAAGTTCTCACGATGAATCGCTGATTAAGTAAACTACCAGACTGCAAAGCTAATAAATTTCTGTTACGCCACACTCCATCAAGATCTTCAAACAAGATGCAATTTACAGGTAGTTAAATTATGCCACACTTTGTCAACAAATTCAAACAACAAAGAATTTACACAGAGATCAAATTATATTACACTTTATCAACAATTTTTAAACGACAAAGAATTTACGTTTTTGTTAAATTATGCATTTTAATTCAAGTTGGTGATAAAATGTTATTAATTAAACAAAGCACATGTGGAATAAACAACAGACAAATATCAAATGCAGTAGAAAGCAAAATAAGGTGAGTTTGGTACGCATCTCGTGTTACGGAAATATTTCAGCTATAAAATCCCCAAATTATAATAACAAAAACAAGCACAACCTAAATCTCACACTCTCCGACTCTGCCAGTTCACGATGTTATTATTTTTAAAATATGAAAATTTGCAAAGTCTTGTGGTGTAAAAATTTGAATTAAAAGTTTGCGCTGAAAAAAAAAACAGCGGCGCGAAATCGCATTTGAATAATTTGAATTTGAAACTGAATTAAGAAAATCGTTAAAATAGGCAACTATGTGCAACTTTAGTTTCTTTGCTGGTAGTTTGGTAGCTCGTCTAGGGAATTTGTGGATAGTGAGTTGGTGAGGGGGTTGGTCGTAAAGCAGACCTGTTTGGTTGACGTAGATGCGTTTAGTTTGGTTTGTTAGTTTCATAAAATAGCCTTTGTTTAAACGAAATTTAATCGTACTGATAGCGACGGCATAATTTTCTCCACAAGCGTAATTGATTACTATTAATGTCTTCCTAATCGGAAACGTGTATGTCGTTAACACGTAGTGTGAATTTGTTGATTGATTCTAAATTCACCGATCATGTTAGGATTTTTAACCGTTCTTGGTTCTAACACAGTTTAACAGTCTTGAAAATTGTTGTTTTATTTCACGCAATCCCTCTAAATGATACTTTTTATTTTTCTTGTATGACACCGAAGAAATAAGCAACTTTATTCAATTGAAATAGGTAACATTTTGAAATTGTGAAATGTGTAAGGGGACGGATGGTTTTTCCTAACATAAATAAGTATTATTTAAATTGAATAGATTCTCATTTGGGAATTTTAAAATAGTGAATATATAATTGGCAGTAATCACGAATTAATCTCATGCATTAATTCTCTTTGAAAGTTAGCGGTGAACTAAATGTCGTGAATTCGAAGACAAAAAGGGGGTTTTACGCTGATTTTGTGTTATATTTAATGTGTTCTACGACTTCAGTTTTGGAACGTTTGTACTCGGACGTACCTCTCAAAGCGACGTGTGGACCGAACGACATTTTGTGTTTTCGGCCATATTTAACCTGTGTTTTATGTATGTATGAATGTATGTATGTGATAGGAGAATTTGATTCACGACGTAGTTTTTATTAATTAATTTTGCTTTATCAACATTCATTGTAAAAATTTTATTGTAAGTTCCTTTAATTGTGTTCTAATAAATAATGTGGAATCGTTCAATCGTTGTAGCAAGGATCAAACATCCGTAAGAATAAACAGTCGATCACAATTCAGCATTACCAAAAATCGGACCTTCTCAGGACAATTATTTATTTCTACAACCAATAATCTTTCGCATTGAGCTTTAGCGATGAATGAAAACATGAATGAACGAATGATAACCAGCAGAAAGTCAGTTTTACATTTATTTGTTTAAAAGGTGGCTCACTTTAAATTTGTTTTATTTATATTTCCACATTACTACGGTACGTGATACCGTGGTTACAATTATTGCATATATTTCAAAATCACCCTGTATCTCAACATTCTAAATTTTTGTATGTGATTATTAAAGACCAAAACAAAAGATGTTAACAAACAGGCGCGGATCCAGGGGGGGGGGCAATGGGTGCAATTGCCCCCCCCTGACACACGACCGAGGTACTTTATTTTGACCAATTTCAAAATTTTGAAATCATATTTCATTTTGTAAATACAGTACAACCTCTATAATCCGAACTCACGATTGTCTCAACATCCAGTAATCCGAACAGAGGCTATTTGAAGTCGATGCCTCTTTAATCCGAACAAAAACTCTGCAATCCGAACTGAACTTGAAAACATGCATCTACTTCCAAAAATGACGCAAGATCTTTCTGCATAAATGTTGTATGGAATATTTTGAAATTTTTAAAAATTGCGATATTTCAAAGCACTAAATTAATTAACTAATTCTGGAGAAACGGATGAAGTTATCGGAGACCCGAAATCTACAAGAGAAAGTATTTGGTTAAATTTCGAAAATCGTCAAAAATGGGTCGAAATTTGCATGAGAAAAATTTTCCTAAAAATTCTGAAAAAATTCAGGGATATATATCCCGACGTACTGATTCCAAAAATATACCATGTTTATGGTAACGGAGCAATATTTTCGGAAAATTCGCTGTGAAATTCGAATTTTTCGAAATTTTTAAAAATTGCGATATTTCAACTGGACGATTCTGGAAAAATGGTTTAAGTTATCGAAGAAATGAAGCCAGAAGTGACTTCTGAGGTCCAAAATCTACAAGAAAATATATTTAGTTAAATTTCGAAAATCGTCGAGAATGGGTCGAAATTTGCATAATAGAGGTAATACGAATACATAATAGAAAATTTCATTTTTGAAAAATTCATCTAAAAATTCTGAAAAATTTCAGGGTATAGATCCCGGGGTATTTATTCCAAAAAGATAGCGTGTTTATGGTCACGGAGTAATATTTTTTTAGTATGTATCTATTATCCATTGTTGCTTAAGAATTCTTTAATTTTTGTTTAATAAAATTTAGGTTTATTTCTTGAAGTTTGTTTTCAGTTGTGTATGAAGTTGTTATTCCATTCCCTTTCAGATTTTTGCGAAAATTGCTGATCCGAACAAATCGTTAATCCGAACACACGTTTTTCCCAATTAGGAATTAGGATTATAGAGGTTCTACTGTACACTATAATACGTGTAATGAAAAGAACCAAATGTCACCCATGTTATGTGAAAAAGAGTATACTAGCTAAAATTTTATAATTTTTTTTATTTATAACGAATTTCTGGTAGTTAGGTAAAATCACACAAAAATTGCCCCCCCCCTGAACGAAATCCTGTATCCGCGCCTGTTAACAAATGACATAATATTCGACCCTTGGGGAAAATACAAGTACAAATTTTCAAAAAGAAGAAACTGTAGTTGATGCCAGTGGAAGTTAGTAGTGATAAGGACGAACAAAAGAAGCTATTAATGAATGAACAATCTTCTGGGCGTTCATCCAAACGTCTTTTTTTGCCGAACTACATTAAAAGTAGCAAGTGTACGAACTATTTTAAACAAGTGTAATTGTTAAAAGCCCCCAACAAAAAAAATTACTCTTCAATTGTCTGAAATTGGTTAAGAGAGTTGAATCCTCCGTCATTCCGTTGGGGATTAATAAAATGAACTCTCTCAGTTGACATGCCGCTAACTTCGGTTAATTCATAAAACTTCATTCATCTCTAACTTTGTCAATCAATAATGAGACTAGTGACATTTTTGAAGATGATTTTGATACTGCAAATACTGATTTCGATTAGCATTTTAGTGTTTTATTTAATTTTTGTATAGTATGCTTTTTTAAATATCCATGTGTAATATATGTATATCAGTGATTGGAACAATTACTTTTAAAAATTAATTCATTACAATTGCAAATTACTTTTTTGTAAGTAATTCATTACTTTAACAATTACTTTTTGCACTTTGAAAAATTTGATGAGGAGACAATTTTAGATATTTGTTGTATAGGAACATTATTTTTTCTACTTAATATCCAACGGGTCAAGAAAAATCGTGCTAAAATGAAGAAGGTATGAAAATGACACCTATAGTGATTTATTTTATTATCGCATTTGTTACATATTCACATCAGTAAAATAAAATAAAACAAATAAATACTTCACATAATTTATTATTTATATATGTATAAACAGCTTGTTCAATTAATAAATAAGGAAGCGAAAAATCAAACTTAAATACTTTATGCATAAAATATTAATTAGGAAAAAGACAATAGCAAGGTCGAAGAACTTGTTTAATAATAATCAATTTCTCTGATGAAACGAAGCTGGTTATTGTACCTAAACACGAGATTCAAACACCTCTGAAATCGTTTTAACACCGCATTAAGTACTAAAGCATCTTCATCTTTCTACCTTTCGACCACCTCATTATAAAAATCTTTTTGAACAATGCCAACTAGGGACATTTTACACACAAATCTGACTCACACGTGTCTAGATCAACCTGAATAAATCCACAACTGTGTCAATACCTCTACAACTCCGTAAAATGCAATTTTTTTAATTGTTTCATAAGCTTTTATCACCGCTTCAATCGACCATACAAATCTGACATTTCGTAGTGGGCCTTAATCATACTACAATGAAACAGGTTTTTTCCTAAATGGAACCACCTTAAAACTTTGGTGGAGGACAAATCTCCACTATAAAAACCCTGTCTGACTTTTTGTCAAGCATCACACTCTCAAAGTACTTTGTAAAAGCAGCTTACAAAACAAACACATTACCATGAACTCCTTCGTAAGAAATAGTTATTATTTTATAATTAGTCTTGTAAAACTATTTTTTTTTCAGGTTGTATTCGTCGCCCTCGCCGTCGCTGGCGCCAACGCCGGACTCATCGGCGCCCCTCTTGCCGCCCCCTTGGCTACCAGCGTCGTCTCCACCCGCACCATCGCCGCTCCCGCTCTCGCTGCTCCCTTGGCCACCACCGGTTTGATCGGCGCCCCCGGTTTGATCGGTGCGCCCGGTTTGATCGGCGCCCGTTCTGTTATCGGTGCTCCCTTGGCCACCACCGGTTTGATCGGCGCTCGCTCTGTTATTGGAGCCCCCGCCATCTCCACCCTCGCCGCCGCTCCTTTGGCCACCGGTGTGATCGGCGCCCCCGGTTTGATCGGTGCTCGCTCCGTCATTGGTGCCCCCGCCATCTCCACCCTCTCCGCCGCTCCCTTGGCCGCTTGGTAAAAACTGTGATAATTTGTTTGTTGATCATGTCCTCAACGACATCACTAAATAAAGTTATTTATTGAAGTTATTTTAGATTTTTATTTACTTTTATTGTTTCTAATAGTTCCTAGGGGTGTGGTGTGGTGGATCTCTTAAAAATAAACAGACGCAAGTAAAATAGTGCAAAAACTGTTTGCTGTTGTTAAAAAAATGTAAGCACCTAATTTTGGCTGCTCTTCCTGTCCCTAAAAACTCTGTATTAAACAGTGAAAATCATGAAGAAAAACAGCTGATGTTAGTATCTTCATGTAATTATTATTACAACATTGTGTACGCATATTTTTTCTGCAATTTCTATGAAATATTCAGAAACAAGTTAAGTTATATATGAATATTAAATAATAATTTTCTAAGATGACATCATCAGTTGATGGGAGGGGATCCCTTAATAGCATTTCAAAAGATAAATCAAACTTAGTATCTTGGCAAAATTTCGAACAGCGATCATAATCTCTATACTTTTTTAAAGTCAAAATATGGGTGATGGGTCTACTGATAATTTGAACAAAACAGGTGTGAGCGTTTTGCCTAAATTTTTTAAGTAAGTAGTCTGTTCTACCTAATAAAATCGCCGACATATCACAGTTATATACAAAAATGGAAAATCTGCATTTTCGTATTTTACGAGTGTAATAAGCCTGTTAGTTTCCGTAGTTTCATTTTTTATGTTACAATTTTCGTTGTAGGCATAGTAAGATATCAAACTGTTCTCGGGTTTAATTAATAATGATAAAATAAGAATTACAGTAATAATATTCAGAACATTTTGTTGTTTTGGCTTAATTAATAATTTTAGTTCCTTGTTTTGAGGCGATAAACTCATTCAAATTAAACAAATTTTTACATAAACACTTTTAGTCAAGCGTGCTGAGAGAACATTTTTTCCCGTTGGTTATCTGCTTTAAATATATTTTACATTGTCCATACTTGTGCGACGTCCCCTTGGAATTTGCGTTTCCACGACACAGGAGCTGCGGGAGTGTTAATTATGCCGGTGGTTTTTATTTTAAATAGGGTATCATAAAACAAACATTGGAAAATCTAATTCTATAATTTTTCAAAGAAACGGAATTTGTTGGACTTGTATTTCAGACGCGAGGGAAATTCTATCCAAATAAACTTCGACCAATCTTTTTCTGTTCTGTTTTAATCTATATAATTTCGCTGCTTTAACACTTGTGCCTATTCGTTTTTTTAGCAAAGTTAGAAGAATCAACACCACATTTTAGTCGAATAAATTAAATTTTATTCCCCAACAGATAGTACAAAAGATTTAGAGAATATGAGCCCCTCCAATGAGTCCATGTCCTCCGATGAGTCCCAGATCCCAAACCGTAACCGTAGGCTCCTCCGTAGACGGTGCGGGCGGCGATGGTTGGACCGGTTACGACGCGAGCGGTGTGAGCGACGGCAAGAGGAGCGACATGGGCTACAGAGACTGGAGCGGCGTGGATGACAGCCACGGGGGCGGCGTGAGCCACAGGATTGGGGACGCCGTGGATGGTGCGGGTGGAAACGACGCTAGTGGCTAATAAAAATTTTTCATAGCCAAGCCAAGGTAAAAGAAGAACACTGTTTATGGTGGTCATTGTAACAATAATAATCACATTCACAATATAACTCACAATTACAAGATCGACAATTCCTCTTCAAGGGCTGTTTGAAAAGGTTGAGCTATTAATTCGTCTAGGAGGTTCCCCCCCATCATAGGCTTTAATCTTACGGTCCTCCTCTGGTGGTCGGTGCAAGGATCAAAACAGAAAAATGTGGGATATGCGCTGGCAATAGATATACTTACTTGCCTTTTGAGAGCGGTGTGATCGGGGATGGGTAAGGCCGGGGATGGCCGGTTGGTGGGAGTAGCGGGTGGAGTCACGCGCCGATCTTGTCGTGAACCAGAGCCCTGCGAAACTGCTTGCATCTTCTTAAAGGTTTCTCGTCGATCTCATAGTCGACAGCTTCTCGAACCAAGGGGTTAGGGTGTTCTTCAGCTTTCTTGTAGGTGTGAAGTGCAATTTCGTGCAGAAATTGTTTTAACTTCGAGATGTTGGCTCCAGAAGAATCTAATTATTTCTGACGAACCAGGGGATTCTTAAAGCTTGTCGGAGAATTTTTGTCTGGAGGACTTCCAGACGATGAAATTGGATTTTGGAAAGCTCGTAGGTCCAGGCTACTCAGGCATAAGGAATGGTGGGGCAAATGATTGTTCGATAGAGAAGACATCCTGCTCCGTCTGCCGACTAGTGGCGCCAGGACGCCTTTGATTCCATTGGTCTTGGCTACAATGTAGTCAGTGTGAGGAATGAAACTGAGCTTTTTGTCAATGAAGACACCGAGATATTTTGTTTTGTCCTGTCAGGGGATGTCCTAGCCGAACATGGAGACGTGTCCTACCAACCACTGCCGACTTTTCGTGATGAAGAGTGCGGAGCTTTTATCTGGATTGACTGTGATGAGTTAGCGTCTGTACTACTCCAGCGTATCAGTGACCGCCTGTAAATAGGTTATCACGTTGTACGCCAATTTGAAGCGTACAACTATGACGGTATCGTCTGTATAGATCGCGAGACTGGTTTGAGGGTGTTTGGGAATATCTGCGCTGAAAATCGCATACAGCACGGGAGAGAGCGCTGGTCCCTCAGGGGCTCCAGTGCTTTTTGGATGTTTTGCTGATAGAGTGTGGCCTATGGGGGCACGAAACGTGCGGGCGTCCAGAAATGAGTCGATGATTTGTACCATCGCCTGCAAAGTGTAGCTTGTAAACAAGTTCCTCATGTCAAACACTGTCGAAAGCTTTGGCTTTGGTTTCCATTCAATTGACTTCGTTGCGAGTTCTACGACCCGAAGAAATTGGTCGGAGGTGGAATGGTGGGGTAGAAAGCCAAATTGCTCGTCAGTAAGAATGCCTATATCATTCAAGATCTCGGAAAGCAGTTTCCGAATGACTCTTTCAGCGATCTTCTCCACCGAAGAAAGAAGACTGATGGGGCGATCATTTTGAGAGAAAGACTGATTTTTCCCAGGTTTCGGGATAAAGATGACGTTGGCCTGTTTCCATCTACCTGAAATGAAACGAAATTTGAACATTGCATTAATAATACCTGTCAAGGCGACGATGGCCTCTTCGGAGAGGTTTTTCAGTGCTTTGTTCGGAATCTGGTCGGGACCTGGGGTTTTCCTCGGCTTGAAGCTTCAGATGACGGTTCAGACTTCGTCGGGATTAGTTTCGCGGATGAATTCGTCTCCTCTGCTTCTTCCTCTTGAAGATTTTCGACGGTTTCTTCGACGAAGTCTATGTGCTCGTCGTCTGCGTCGGGGTTGATGTTAGTCTGACATTGGTTCTCCAGACTGTCTGCGAAGACGGCGGCTTTGTCCTCATCTGTGAAAACGATGACGTTGTGCGCGCCCGCTGTGAATCGGTGGAAGGAGCCTCTTGTCACTTCTTAGCACTTTGGCCATTTTCCAGGTCGATTGGTCCTCGGTGTTCAAGGACTCGAGTCTTTGTTCCGACTGCTCATTGCTAAGATAGAGCAGTGCTTTCCGGACTTCCCATAGGAGGCGGTTCGCTGCAGTCTGGTCTTTCTCCGGTTTGTCGTGCATGTTCTTTTCCCTGATTAGGTTCACGATACGCTGGGGTAACGTGGGCCGTTTGAATGGCCGAGCAGGGTGTCAAACTCAGACTGCGTCGATGGAGGCTCGGATATGATTCTCGTAGTCCAGAGTTGCTTCCTCCATTTGCTCGGTGCTCTGAAAATTCGTATCAAACTCACCCAAGTTACCTTCGATGTGCTCGGCGAATTTCAGCCAGCGCGTTGGGTTCGTTCCCAGTGCGCATTAATCACCGGGAGATGGTCGGAGTGCGTTGTCTACTGTGCCATTTCTCGTGTTTGACGTTGAAGTCGCCAGTTACGATGTGGCCCTCATCGACATTGGTGAGGCCTGAGATGTGGTCAATGTAAAGCATTGCGCTGGTGTTGTAACATGCAGTAAGGCGCAGAGGTACTCTTGGAGTCTTAACAGTCACCGCCGTCGCCTCCAGCTGTCGGAAATCTGGAACATAAGAAGCAGAGTGTTTAAACTCGTTTCTTACGTAGATGGCAGTTTCTCCTCCTTCTCCGTCACGGCGGTCCGTTCGGTGCAGAGTAAATCCCGGTATCCTGGGATCTCTGTATTTCGACTGAAACCAGGTTTCAGAGATGAGGACGGCGTCTAGATCATGGGCATTCATGAACTCCTCGAGCTCATAACGCCCAGGCTGGAGATTGTAAGCGTTCCAGAAGGCGATCTAAAGAAACGCCATCAGCTTATCTGCCATGGATTTGCGGTCCTTGGCGGCGGCGATGGCGTGAAGGACCTGGGTTTGTAACAGCTCTTAAGGCCGGCCTGTTGGCGAGTCATCGGGGAAACCTTTTCGGCGGAGGTGGTGAGGGTGTCTTTTTGGGAAACTTAAGGCATCCCTTGTAGTTGGCGGTGTAAGGTCCACCACAGTTTACGCATTTTGCAGGTTTGCAGCGGTGTTTATCGCACTCGCTGGTCTGATGAGTGGCACCGCATTTGACGCAGCGGTGGCACTACAAGGCTTTCTTGGACTTCCCCTTCCCTGCTAAATTACTTTACGGCAAAGGTATACCAAAAATTCGAAGAAATAATAAAATTAACTTTCCAAATTCAAATGCAATAAATATTTAGTGAAATTAAACTTAATCCCGTGAATACAAAAAATGTAGGTACATGAACTTACCCGTGCAAAAATGAGCCAGTGAATTCCTTTAGTCATTAACCCAAAAACTTAAGTTTTGCAAAATAAGTGTTTGCTGAAATATATCCTTACAGTATTGATATTGACATACATATATGTACTATTAGACTATTACTATACTACACATATGGTTAAATTTTATTTGATGAAATTGATTTCTTTGAAAGTTCTGTTTTTCGAGATTTTTACGGTCTTATAATAGGGTGAAAACTGAACAAAACTCGGTGTTTTTATATTTTTCTATTAAAATGAGTACAAATAATTAATACACGCGTCACACCAAAAGATGTGGATGGAGACTATATTTTGTAAAAAAGTTCACAAATGCCATAGGTATTGGCAAAAATTGGGTTTTACAAATTACACAAGACATTTGCCGAAGTTGTTTTTCTTTCTTCTTGTTAAGTAAAGTTTTAAACACAAAATTTCAAAACTGTAAAGTGATATTTATAGATTTTAGTTTAACTAATAAACTAATAACACAGTAGGTACCACGAATATCAACCAAATTCCAGTCTTATAATTCAGACAAATAATGCAAAATGGAATTCACAGGAAAATCATGGACTGGACTTCTTGTGCCCGCTCTAAACTGTTGTCAACATGATTAGGCACACACAATACCCATTTGGGGCAAAAATATCATTGGTGTTGTGGTGACCGAATTTAAATCAAAATTTTCGCGCTGAAATTAATTAACAGCGGCGCGAAATCACATTTGAATAATTTGAATTAAAAAAAAAAATTCATCAAAAAAAACATACGCAACCTGGTGCACGGAAACGCTTGCTTGATAGTCGGACAATTTAGCGCTAGGGGTTTTTGGTTAGAGGGTTGGTTGGTAGAGATAGGGCAGAATGGCGTAGCGTCAGTCTGAATGTGCTTGTGTGAGTGTAAACACGTGGTAAGAGCTAGGTTTAAATTAGTTGGTTTGGAAGTTAATAAAATGGGAGGAAGCCTTTGTTTAACGACAATCAATCGTAGCCAACGTCACTCAGGTGTCCCCAACCCGCGCGGTTAATTCTTGCGGCCTTTTAATGCGGACTTCCGTTCAACGCGAAACACGTACTGTAAATTTGTTTCATTGTTTGTAAATTCACCAATCAAGTTGGTTTTTCTTAATCGTCAGCTAGTGCAAACACAGCTTAACAATCAGGATTATTTAAATAAACGACTTGCTAGAAGATTTCATGAAATTCACTTAGTCAGGAAAACACCTTGTTGTTTAATTACGAATAGGTTTCTGGATGCATATACGTAAGTGTTACATTATAACACTTCTTAATTCTTTACACAAGATTGCTAATAGTTCATTTACGGCAGTTAAACAAGTTCATTATATTGTGAACTGGCGGGACGGGGTTATAATAATTTCTTCACTTAGGCGGTTATCATTGTTATCATTATCACATCACGGGAGCATGCCATCGCAACGCCATAGATTGATTAATGCATCGAGGCCTGCCTTCACAACGTCACAGATTGATTAATTTATCGAGGCATGTCCTCACAACGCTATAGATTGATTACTTCATCGAGCAATTATTAATCTCATGTAAATTTCATTAACTTTGCAAATTTTCACCTCATACAATATTTCTTTAATCTCACAATTTTAACCTCAGTAATTTTCCTTTGTTGTATAATTTTAATTAAGCGTAAATTTCATGCTCTACAGTTTAACCTCACATAATATTTTTATTTGTACAAGTTTATTTCATAGCAGATCTTTGTCTCATAAATCCTTGCTAAGTTTGTTTTGTAAATACTTTGTTGATGAATGTTTCTATCATATAAATTGTTTGATGTCCAATTTTTATCTCACATAAGATTTATTTGTTGTTTAAAATTTCACAAGATTGTATGGCGGATTTAAATGTTGTTTATTGCTCGTTGAAACTTTAATACTTGTTCAGTTGTTGTTGATATCAGAGTTATAAGAGATTGAACATTTAAAAATGGAATTGAGGTTAAATAACACACAAAACATGGCAGAACCGAAGTGCAGTTCCTAGTCGGGTTGGCGAGATTTATCGTGTCACCTGTACAAGCCCACAGGTTTGGATAGATTCAGGGGCGGCCGCCGCTCTTGTAGTGCTCTCGACTTGGACCAATAGTCGAGATCTAACTGCGGGTCTGGTTACCGTAATGGCCTAGTTTCGCACAGCATGATCGTAATGGAGGTGCATGCGGGTAGGCTTTGCGATAGATAGAATCTCCGTCGTGTGGGGAGAACAGCCCCAGACCGGTAGCCCCAAACTCCGCTTGTGCTACAACGCCCCAGGGGTACTTTTGTTGTGCTCCTGTTAACTGCCGTAACTTTAAAATCTGCCGCCACACGCACATAATAACTTGTGTATTTTTATCCAGTTACTGAATTCAGATTTTGCTTTGTTGTTTTATTAAATTTGTGATATTCAAATATTTGCATTGATTCCAAACATATGTGTATGTCTGTCAATTCGCGAGTGTTTTTCTTCCATATATCTTAAGGTGTTTGAAATGTAATATATCTGTGAATATAGCCCTAGGGGGTTTTTGGAGATGAAGAACGATGGCGATTGGTTGCTGCTGGACGGCCAGAAGGGCACGGCCGAGTCACTCTCGCTCTTTGCTTCTTTTCCCCCTAGGGAGGGATAGCATCCCCTCCTTAATTTTTGTCTATTATTTCTTGCGCTCTCGACTCACACGCAGTGTATGCATTTGTATGAAAGAACGTCTTCCCGCCACTTTTCAAAAAAAAAAAACACAACGTAGGTTCCCATTTGTTAGACGATCACAGCCAAGGCCAAATTTTGAATTTTTGAATTTTTCGCAGCCCTTTCAAACTTTTCCAAGGTCAATTAAAGGCGGGAAGTTTGGGATATCACAGTGTAAATTGGCGCGAACCCCATTACAGCAAGAAGCTCATGTAACTTCGTTCATTTTGCACTGTTTTCTGTACAATATTAAATTTTTAGTAAAATTGTTATATGTAGGTTAGCATATGACATTTTATCCACTGTAAACACAATGGTGAAGGCTTGTGTGATTTTTAACTGCCAATAAAGATACGGACAAGATCCCACGGTTTCATTTCACAGGTTAGTAATTACTAATTATTACAATTAATTAGATTATTTTTACTTTCTTAGCAAAGCCAAGGGAAGTGTTGAAATGGGGCAGTTTTGCTATTACTACATATAAAATGATTGCTGTTCAAATTTTACTTTTTCTATTTTCTAAGCATAAAATATACTCATCCTAATCGCTGCCTAGAATAACTGATATAATAAGTAAATTTATTTGTATCATGGTTTAATTTAAGATATTAAACTAAAAAATACATTTTGCGAATTAAACGATCATATCTTAAATCAGGATCCATTAAATAATCACCATATTCAGCTAAATTACCTTGTTGTAACAATTTATTTCAAAATCGGATTCAACAACAGAATTAGACATAGATATATTCAAAATATTGATATTGTTTAAAAATCAGTAAGTCCTTATATAAATATATTAAATCGTTTTAGTAATTAATTTCAAAGTTATATCATATTATTATGACAGTTCAATAGTTTTTCCGTTTTAAAACTGTTAATAAAAAATTTTCGACTTTTGTAACGATTAAAAGAGTGTCTTTTTTGCGTATTAAAGATTAAATAAATATTTGTTTCATCAATGTTTTTTGTGGTTATGTGTTAATTAGTTGCAAAACAAACATTAAATAACTCTAGTGTTTGATGTAAAAACAAATATTCCATAATTTTCCTGTTGCTCAGTATTTATATACTCCTTTGCCCCGAATGGATATTACTGGTTGTCTAATCATGTTGACATTATTTTATACGGTTTTCAAAGGCGCAGTCCAAGTAGAATAAGAATAAGTCAATGCAGAAAAATACATCTTTCCAAACAAATTCTGTGTCAAACTCGCTTTAGATTTAATTCCCAACTGGGTTAATCTTCTCTTTGTGGGATGAACCAGGTATAATAATCCCTACAGGTAAATGATTCGTACAGAAAAACAAAACAATTCTTTTGAGTTAAAAGTAATTACAAAAAATCTGTACAGACGGCAGATGGAAACGGGAGACCTATTTCTTCGTACTCTAGGGGTCATGAAAGGTCGAGAAAACGTGAAACCAGAGGGTCCGTCGACGAATTCGATAACAATCGCTTACGCTCGGGAAGTAATACCTAAAAGTAAAATGTATTTGTCCACAATTTATTTTTTTCACAACCCCACATCCACTAAAATTTATTAGTAAGTTATTAAATTGAACTAAATGAATTACTTACAAACAGTAATTCATTCCAATTGCTTATTGCCTAAAAAGTAATTGAATTATAGTAATGTATTACTTCCGACCACTGTATAATATGCACTACATTGTTGTGAAAGATGTGGGCTTTTTTGTTTTGTGTAAAATACTCAAACTTGAATTTTTAGTGTTATGCTTGCTAAGTTTGGCGATAGATGTTTGACTTACATTAAAAAAAAAAACACAAATCAATGTATTTTATGACTATATTATGGGTAAATGCATGTTGATACCAACTCCACATTCATGATGTATTACAAAAAAAAAAATGCTATGACATAAATGAATCAAATAACCCATAACCACCTACTTCTTACCCCATCCCCATAATCCCTTAACAAACCCAGAAATACCAGCACCCTTTTGCTTTGGTTGCCCACCCTCCAACTTCTCGGTCAAGTCAGGCAACTCCACAAAATTCAAAGCCAAATCATAGAACAAAGGTTTGGCTGGGATAGGTTCCATTGCAGGCGGCAAATTAACTATATTAGGATTTTTACTCAACAACTGTGGCTCTTCCCTAAACTCATCTAAACGATCAATCAGAGGCTTCTTACTTTTGTACACTTTTTGAGGTACACTGATACTCTGGTCTTCTTGCTGATCTAGAACACAATTCGCTTGAGCGTTGATTTTATCAGTATCTACATTGTCCTTAACGCTCTTCAACAACTCATCTAACTCTTGGATAAACTTAGTTTTCGTTGGAATTTTAGCAATGGCTTTTGACGCCAGATCATACAAAACCATAGCTTCCTTCCAACGCTTTTGAGTAGCTTGAGTGCGTGCTAAGTAATAAATCCTTAGAGCTTTGTAAACTTGTAGCTGCTTAACGTAGTAATCTTGAGCCACTTTCACATCTTTAACTGACTCATTCTGAGACAGTTCAGTGGTCTGCTGAATGATAATGTCAAGCAAGCGTACCCAATCTTGAGGTTTTTTTGTTTGTTGCATAAGCAGCAAGTGTCTCTGTGAAGTTCTCTCAACTTTAATAGACACCAAGTAAGAAAGTAAAAGCTGATCTTGTTTCTCAGTTCTTACCACACCTCGAGCTAGAGAAATAATGTCACGTAAATCAATAAATAAATTCTCAAGAATTTTAATTTTCGCTTGATTATTCTCAGCATGAACCAAAGAATCATCCAATCCTTCAATACTCAACAAAAACAAACGAACTCTCTCAATTCTAACAGGAATCTTAATCCCAAACCATTGCACTTCATGCAACACGGCCTCAGTTTTCTGCTTTGATTGTGTCACCAAAGCGTCAAAGTTCTCTAAAATCCCCTGACTTCGCAATTCCAACAAATCCACAGCTTTTTCATCCCCGATATTGTAAGCACAGTATCTCAAACTTGGTGTAATTTCCACCACTCTTTGTCTATATGGCGCCTGGTCGTCCTCTGGCAGAGCCGAAGCCAGTTTCTCATAAATCATTTGCGACTTTTTCAAATTTTCAGCAGCTTTCGTCCAAATCTGCAACTCAAATTGAAGACTGCCGTGAATCCACGCGACGTAAGCCTGCGATTCCAGTTTAGTACGAGCGTCGCATCGCTCCTGTTGGCACAATTCTTCCAACTGCAAGGCGTAAACGCTAGCTTTACGCAGCTTCTGCACTAAGTGGAATTTTTTTCGAGGTTCAGTGTTAGCTTCTTGTCGGAGCTGCATTGCGTACGCCCAGCACCGCTCAGACAACATCAAGGGGATTTCTAGGTAGCGTTCGTCGGATTTTTTGTCATTAATGTGGGTCTCGGTCACATCGCGTTTTTTAAAGTGGCGTCTATCGCCTTGGGGGAGTTTCAAGACTTTGCGGAGTCTGCGGATTCTGCGGGAGCAGTAGCCACGGTAGCGCTGGTAGTCCCCATGTCGCAATCCGTGTTGTTGTTGGGCGTTTTTGATTACTTTTAAAACTGAAATTAAATTAAATGAAAGTTGGGGGAACAGATGGCAGAGAAGTGAGGTTAGGTAGAAGAAACTTACTCTCTAGAGTGAATGTCTTCAGTGACTCCGATTTTTTTGAGGAAGTTTGATCGTCCGTGGGAGGGTTTTGCGTTGGTTCTTCGGCAACCATTTCGGAAGATTTTTTAATTTAATTCTTGATTAAACAGATTTTGCAAATGTCAAACGTGGAGACGAGTTGACACTGTTGACATTTGACGTTGACTTTTCTCCCAGCGACATCTGGTTAAAAACGTAAAAATGTTACAAATTTAATTGTAAACAGAGCCGGACTAAATATTTTTCTGATTTTTTAACTGTAATAAAAATTATTTTAACAAGGTGGCATCGTATACGCATTTAGGAAATTAGATTAGGTGATTTTCTTTATTTCTATTATTTTGTTTTTTTAATGTAATTTTATAAAAAAAATATTCAAAGAATGTTAAGAAATAGTAAATATTGGGTTAATAATTTTGATTTCAACTGTCAATTTAATATTATGACCACATAGCAAATATCAGACAATCTCGAAATTTGCTTAAAAAATGTATAAAAGTGTACAGTTTTGAGCTGAAGTCCAAGTTAAAAAAATTGGAATATTGGAATGTAGTCTGCTCCTATTTTGTGTTATAGCAGCCTAATTTCTCTTTCTATGCGTTTTTATTTCCTAAGGAAGTATTTATTTACTTCCTAAGGAAGTATTGTAATTGAGTTCATTGGACGACTGTTACTTTTATGTTTTCTCGGCATTTTATGACCTCTAGAGTACGAAAAAACAAGTCTCCTGTTTCCGTTTGTCTGACTGTCTGTCTGCCGTCTCTCCAAATTTTTATTAGGCACATCATCGCCAAAAGTACTGGACCGATTGTGGTCAAATTTTATATATGTATTAAGAATATCGTGTAGATGGTAAAACGCTAATAACATTAGTAATAATATTATTTCAGTTTCAGATAATTAAAGACAATGCTTGGTTTATGAATCCGTGTTCAGAGAACCTATAGATACAAAATCTGCGATTTTTGGCAAAAAAAATAAAAATTGTATAATAACAATACTTTGCAATTTAACTTTGAAACTGAAAAAACTGCAGAGTAACTCAAAAAAAAAAAAATCACAACTGAGGCAATTTATTGTATTGATTAAAATCAAGAACGATTCACTCCATTTTCCAGAAAATTTGGGAATACAGTACTGTTATTATTAGAATTATACTGCATCTATCCAAATTGGTATACATGTCCTTGCAAAAATGCTAATGACATCATTACAAATTAACATTAATATTACATACATACTTTTTTTTTCACCAAAGTGTTATATAATATTTTTTTTTATTCTTCGAAAAGTCTGGCTTTATTTACCTTAGACAATTTTTTTAATATATCAATTTTGCCTTTCTCTTTTTTCTTCGATTATAGAATTTTTTTGATATCACAATTTTTTGTTTTTTCGTTTTCTTTGTTTTTTTCAATTTTTCCATTATTTTTTCAACGTTTCTTTCGATTTTATAATTTTTCGTTGATTCAATTTTTCATGTTCTTGACCTCCAATTTTTAGCTTTTTCAAAGTTTTCATTTTATACTCTCTCGTTTTTTCATTTTTAATTTTTCAATTTTACAATTTTGCAATGTTTATTTTTTTGATACGAGAAGTTAAAAAATCGAAAAATTAAAAATCGAAAGACTGAAAAACGAGTAATTGCAAAATGGAAAAAGCGGAAAAAAGAAAATTTGCAAATCGAAAAACTGAAGAAACTAAAGCTTGAAACATTGAAAAACAAAAATAAAAATCCAGAAACTTAAAAGGAAAAACTAATAAACGAAAAACTGAAAAAAAAGGAACTGAATAAAAAAATTGGAAAACCCATAAACTGTAAAATCAAAAAACTATAGAATCGTCAAAATTGTAAAGGCGAAAAACTATAATATTTAAAGATCAAAAAAATTGAAAAATGAAATATCAGGAAATTAAAAAGTTAAAATCGAAAACTTGGAAAATCGAAGAAATGAAAAAGTTTAAAAAGTTTTAAAATTCAATAATAACATTGATAAAGTGAAAAATTATAATTATTATTACATATTTTTAAAACGAAAACAAGAAAAATTGCAAATCAAAAATTGAAAAATTCAAACACGAAGAAACCAAAAAACCGAAACAAAACATCGCAAATCGAAAAATTGAATAAATGAAAAATTGAAAAATCGAAAAACTGAAAAACTAAAAATTGAAAACTCTTGAAATTGCAAACTGAAAAAACTACAACGAAAAATTGCTAATCGAAAATTTGAAGAAATGAAAATTTAAATATTCCAAAAATTTAAATATTATAAAATTGAAAACTCAAGAAATTTTAAATCGGAAACTTGCAAAATCTAAAAATTGAAAAGTCCGAAAGTTGGAAAATTGAAAAACCGAAAAATTGAAACTTGAAAACTAGAAAAATTGCAATTGGAAAAATTGAAGAAAGAAAAAATTGCAAAAACGAGAAACTAAAATCTAAAATTGAAAAAACAAAAAATGATAAAGTCGAAAACTTGAAAAACCGATAAATTTAAAAATCCAAAAAGTTTCACATTGAAAAAAGGGAAAATTTAAAATCAGAACATTGAAAAACTGAAAAATTGAAAAAATAAAGAAAATAAAAAACCGAAACAAAACATTGCAATTCGAAAAAATGAAGTAATGAAAAATTAAAACACAAATTAAAAAATTCAAAAATCAAAACTCAAAGAGATACATATCGTAAAATTCAAGAAACGAAAAAAAAAGAAAAATTGACAAATTGCAAATTCCAAAAATTGAAAAACGAAGAAATATTGAACAAACTGAAATAGGCAAAACAAAAAATTATAATATCGAAGGACTGAAAGACGAGCAATTGCAAAATAGAAAAAGTGGGAAACCGAAAATTTGCAATGAATCAAAACAATGGAAAACCCAAAAATTATAAGCTTGAAAAACTATAGAATCGTCAAAATTGGAAAATCGAAAAACTGTAACATTGGAAGATCGAAAAATTGAAAAATTAAATATCGAGAAATTCAAAAATTAAAATCGATAAGTTAAACAACGAAAAATTGAAATATGAAAAACTTTGAAAGTTTTAAAAACCAATAATAAAATTGAACAAGTGAAAAATTAAAAATTACAATTATTACATGTTTAAAATGAAAACTAGAAAAATTGCAAATCAAAACTGAAGAAACAAAAACTGAAAAAACGAAAAATGAAAAATCCGAAAAGTTGAAAAACCAAAAAATTGAAAACCGAAGAATTGCAAACTGAAAAATTGAAAACTCAAAAAATAAAGAAAACAAAAAACCGAAACAAAACATTGCAAATCGAAAAACTGAAGAAATGAGAAATGAAAACTCGAAAAATTGAAATACTTACTAAAAACTGAAAACTTTTGAAATTGCAAACTGAAAAACTCCAAAATCTAAAAATTGAAATATCTAAAATTTGGAAAATCGAAAAACTGAAAAATTTAAAAATGAAAACTCGAAGAGTTACATATCGTAAAACCGAAGAAACAGAAAAAAATTTAGAAAATCCAAATATTGAAAAATCGGAAAGTCGTAAAAATAAAAAACTACAATGAAAACTGGTTAAACAAAAATTTGAAGAAATGAAAAATTAAATATTCGAAAAATTTAAAAATTAAACATTGAAAACTCAAGAAATTTTAAATCGAAAACTTGCAAAGTCTAAAAATAAAGTTCAAAATTTGGAAAACTGAAAAACCGAAAAATTTAAACTTGAAAACTAGAAAAATTACAAATGGAAAAACTGAAGAAATCTAAAAATGTAAAAACGAAAAATGAAAAAAATTGAAAAGTTGAAAAACCATAAAATTTTTCACCTTAAAAAAGCGGCAATTTTAAAATCGGAATCAGAAAAACTAAAACATTAAAAAATTGAAAAATCGAAAACTGAAAAATTTAAAAATGAAGATGCGAGGAGTTACGTATCGTAAAATTGAAGAAACAAAAAAAAAATTGACAAATTGCAAACAAAAATCCCAAAAAATGTTTATAATTGCTTTTTAAACGGTTCCTTGTATTAGTCGAAATTCAGAGAATATCTGGTCCTCAAGATCTTGTGACTGTTTTTGTGGCACTACTTAAAAGCACTAACTGAAGAAATGAATGACAAATATTTATATACTGTAGTTTAAATTAATCTATTTAATAAAATGTATTAATTTTGGACCAATTTTCCTTATAACCTCACACTTATTTCGTCATTTTTGCTTTTACGTTTGTCATTTTTTGATATTTATCAATGTGGTTTAATCATTGACATAAATCTTTCCAAGGATAACTCAATAACGAAAATTCATTGCTATTGTCCATTACCAGTTCAGTCACCCTACCTAATTTACACAACAGGTGGGTATCTGGGACAACTGACAACTGTTGAGCATTACTGTCGATGACATACTAGGTACACTAAAAAATTATTATCAATGTGACAAAAGTATCATTTATTACAAGATATTACAAATTTCCGATTCGTATGTACAAATTTACAACATTACCTAAATGAGAAATCACTATCTCAAGACAATGACATCGTCTGGTTCAAAAACATCAGTGCCTTTGCATACTCTCTATAAAACACTTTCTTGTACTTCAAAATAACATTATCAACAACCCTCACAGGACTAGACAAATATTTGGCACACTCTGGCAGTATCACAGTATCACAGTTATCTTTATAATGATTCATTTGCACTAACTCCTTCTTCAAAAACTTAATCCTTCCAATCCCCGGTCTCAGCGTTTTTAGTGCATAGTGATTGAACACAGTCAACGCATTCTTAGTCGAAACGAAACTTTTTCCTGATTCCCGTTCCCCGCTAAAATCACTGCGGACCACATTCCTAAAGAAGACAATTTTTTCTTTTAATCGCTTCTTCACATTAAACTGGCGTAAATAATAGGCATTCCTAACTGTATACGAAGCGAAATTGTCTTTGCTTTCTGATAACGATTCGTGTAACAGTTCCGCCCACGTAGTCACGTGTCGTGGTACAATTATCTCGTCTATGTCAACTGGAATTATAAAGTGTGACGTGTGGATGTTCCGGTAAAGACAGTCGTTATATGTAATAATTTCGTTGCGACGTTTTTGCCAAATGTTGGTGGTTTCGTCGAGATAAAAACTAGAATCTAGATTGTCGTGTTTAAGTAAAGTAATCCCATTTTGACTTTTTTGGAAACTTTGTAGAATTTTTAAAGTCTTCTTTGGAAGGTTTTCCACATACAGGTTCATTTTTGTGGCTCCAAGTATTTGATTTATGACGATCCACTGTAGCAATTTTAATGAGATGTCTTTGTTGAAATTTAAAGGTTTTACACAGATGGTGAAAATATGCGGCAGGTCTTTAGATGGCAGGGTGTCTTCGGGTGAAATTTTAAAATCGATGGGTGCTTTTTCACAAGGTTTTAAACTAAAAGAGACGGAAATGGGGGTAACTCCAAAGGGTATGTAACAAGATATTAGGAATGGGTTGTAGTACGTGTGAGTGTCGTTTTGGTTCCACGATTTTGACCATATTTTGGTAGCTCGTGTCCTGGTTATGAAGTACTGGCCATCCTGGGACAAAATTTGGCAAAACAGAGTACTATTCCTGGTACCTGAAAACAAAAATGAAATTAACATAGTGTAATACCTAAAGTTGATATAATAATTATATTTTTTTGCAAGTGCAAAAATTCGAAAACCTTAAAGTCACAAATAATTTTTTCTTTTATCGAAGTAAATATTTTCGTTAAAAAAAATACTCGTAAATAACCGTATCTATAATTTATTTTATTAAGACATGAACATACGAATTTTAGTAAATTTCCAGTGATTGAAAATGGTGTTCGACACGATTTATTTGCAAATTTTTTATTTTATCGAAACTGCAAAATCGTTAAATTTAATAGATACAGTAGATTAAGTCGGCTGTCCACTAATTAAAATATAAATTAATTAATTAATTCGGCCAACCATTTGACGTTGCAGTCGTTCGAATTTAAAATTAAAAGTGAGTGAAGATGTGAGACAATTTCAACCTATTTTTCAAAGTTGTTCTAAAAAAAGTAAGTTGCTTACTTTATATGAGGGAATAATTAGTACACATTGTGCGATTTAAACTTATCATATTTAATTAAAATAACAACCAAACTGAAGAGATACATAAACAAACCCAAAAAAATTATATTGAAAATTATGTTTGATTATCATCATACTGTTACGTCAAGCTGTCGAATAAGTTCTGTTAAGTTGACCTCTCCATTTTAATTATCAAGTAAACAGTTACACACACTTAAGATCAGTTTAATTGTGTGTAAATATTGTTTTGACATTCATGTTGCCTAAGGTTATTTGTATTTATACACTCTCCTTGATGAAGCTTTCAAGTGATAACTGTTCTCCTTCTTTAATTAAAAGAAACATTATAACCACTAGATATTATTAATTAGTTAAAATGAACAACCTATTATATCGTTTTAAGTGAAAATAAAATCTCCCAGCGCATCCACCAGATTTAGTGTTTATTGAAATCCGCCCGTTCACGTTTTTTTCCTCCAAATTTCCGACTCTGTAGTTACCTATTTAATATAATAATATATTCATGACATGCTATTATACTTATTTAAAAAGACGTCAGTTGTAAATTATAATTATAGTAAACGACTGGAACCTGTTATTTCCATCTGCAAAAACAGCTCCGGGGCATCGAATTTTCGATGAATGTTGTTACTTAATTTTTAAACACAGTTAATGATGGAATCTTATTTTTCTGTTAAAATTTATTTCCATAGGTGATAAATTGTTCTAGTCTGGAATGCGTGAAGCTTGTTATACTTAATCAAAATTCATTACCTAAAATAGTAAAATCAATTAACCATGTATTGGAATGTCGCGTATAGGCGGTACGCCTTTTTCGGGTAAAAATTTGAATATGTTACTTGTCGTTAAAACTGGGTGGGAATTAATTTCTGGCACTTTGATGAATATCTTTATGCATGTATTTTTAATTTTATTACCTTAATGGCTGCGCATGGATTTAATATGTGAACAGTTATGTTACTTGAAAAAGTGCTTTGGGTCGGTTTTATTACAGAAAAGTTTTTCGTAATTAATAAAATTAACAATTTCGTTGATTTACGGTCACTTTAATTAAAATTCGTTTATAGAATTTTGAACTAGCAACTCTTGAAATATTTTCATGTAGTAAAAAAATTTGATTTTTTGTACTTTTAACTAAAATTTAATTTCCTGTTATTAATTTTGGGACAGGAAATGACATAAGTTTGTGCTCTGGGTTAGTAACCTATTATAATATTTTCTGTATAAAATTAAATTAGAAGTGATTTTTTATTGACCATTTAGCATATTATTAAGTTTGTTGGTAACGTAGGACATGTTATTAATGCTTCTTTTCTTTATTATTAAGAAGTTAGCAAGATTAACTACTTTTTATAGACAAACCTAGTATATAGAATGGCAATTATAAAACTTAACCTTACTTTTTTGGTAGACTTGCACGTGATTTTATAACCGAAAGAGTATAACTAATAAAAGTACTAGATACATTACTGGACAGAGAAGAAACAAGTAAAATAGGACAAAAATTTTACTCAATTTATTAAAAAAACAAAAACACGATTTTTTTGAAAATATTAAATTTCAAATTTTAAGAAATTAACTTCGTAGTTCTGATTTGCTCTAATGAGAATTTAATTGATAGTCCGATTAAAATTGTTGAAAATGACATCTATCAACCGTAAAAAATGACGTTGTGACTCGTATTCTAGCAAATTATTATTAAATTATTAATAATTACGTATTTAACTTCCTATTAGACGTGCAGTTCATTAAAACAGATTAGAATTACGAAGTTAATTAATTCTTCAACTTTGAAGTTTAATATTTTAAAAAATTTGGTTCAGGGAATTTTTTAATCCATTTTTTTCGAGTATGTACTTCATTACCTTCGTAACAACGTACCATGGAGTCTGTCTGCCTGTCTGTCGGTCTGTCTGTCTGTCTGAGAAATGTATGTTCACTTTTAGACAACTTTTTCAAATGTGAAATTTTTCCACTCATTTTTGACCACTTTCGAAAGTTAATTAAATACATTTTCTTGTACATTTCGAGCTATAGAAGTCACTCCGGCTTAGTTTCCTTGATGACTTCAACCGTTTTTCTAGAATCGTTTGGAATTTTTAAAAATTTTGAATTTAATCCCTAACATTTCGGAAATGTTGCTTGATGAACATATACACGCTATATTTTTGGAATCAGCACATCGAAATCAAGCTTATGCGACATTTTTGGAACAGCTGTATAATAGGTGTACATACATACATATCTAATACAATTTTGGTTTCAAAATAATTTATTTGTGTTGTGCACCGAAATATGTGTTCAAATAAATCATCTTGGGATCAAAAACCAATTACCAGTTAAAAAAAAAAGTCAGATTAGATAATAAACTTGTTCAAAATTTTGGTAAAACGCCAAAAAGAGTTTTAGGAATTACAAAAAATTAATTATAATTTAGTAGATTCTTTTTTAATGGTCTTAGTTTCCAATCGTTTATTAGGATTTTTCATCACGTGATTTTAATTCTGTTCAATCAGATTATTGTTATAATGGGAAAAATCAACTTAGAATATTATACTTTGAATAATCTATAGTATTTTGTTTCTGTTTAGTTACAACAAGCTTTCTAGTTTTGACAACTGTCAAATTTAGGAAAACAAACCAAAGTAAACGTTTTTGTTCCGCATATGTGGCACAAATGACTGAAGAAACTACAGCAAATACAAGTAAAAACACCTTAATTAGCAGCGATTCATTTGGAAGTAATTACAATTATTCTGTGAAGAAAAGGCTAACAAACTAAAACAAAATGCTCCTATCAAAGAATTGGCCCACATTTTATAAAGCTGGGTATAATACTGAAGACGTTGGTAAGCGGAGAAAAATAAGCGGCCTCGTGGTCCAGTGGTCAGGATACCTGCCCGGCAAGCGAGGGGCGTGTGGTTCGATTCCCACCGAGGCAGCAACGTTTTTCTTCGCTTACCTTCACTATAAAGAAACGGTGATTAAAACAATGTGGAATAAAACTGTCAAACTTTATTCAAGATTATTATATTGTAACAAATTTAACAGAGTCATAGACCCCTTTAAAGACTTGAAGTTTAAATCTTAGCGAGATGATAGAAATACAAAGAGCAAAATATTATAAAAGAACGAAAGAAGGAAGCAAAATTTTGTAACTTTATCTAAAACAGAATCATAGAGTGTCTGAAATGCTATGATGAAGAGACTCCATGTGGATTTAAAAAAAAATTACCATATTGCTTCATATGAATTAGCTTGCGGTGGAGGAGAAGGTCTTAATGTTTAGAGCATTATTTTAAAGAAGAAACAAATAATACTGGTGACGTTGCTGGAAAAATAGACTATAATCTGATTTTTTCGAAAACAACACAAAGTGTGACACAAAAGTGTGCTACGTCACTTCAAAATTGTACATAGTAAATGGGTTTTAAATTGTATAAAATAACATAGTCCTATATACGTAGGTTATGACTTCTTGTTGAGTTTTGACCCAAAATGTCCAAAATTAAAAAAAAAAAAATGAAAATTATAGAACAAGATTTTACAATAAAAATTAATGACGTAAGCTCAAAATTTTGCCAAAAAAATTCTACCTAAAATGTCGAACATATGATGAGTCTATAGTAATTTATCATTCCATTCATATTTTTAGAATTTGCTTATACAGGGTGACTCAAAAAATTAATGAATGCGGGAATTTATTTTATTGATTTAACCAGGGATGTTTTGAAATTATTGTAAGGATGGTAACTTTTTAATCAATGTATCTGTTTATCAACCCCAAAAAAGTGATTACGTTATTTCAAAATTTTAGCGAATAAATTCTTTCAAAAATGTACAAAATATGATCAATCTACACTTGTAATTTATGATTGCATTCATATTTTTTAGGTTTGCTTATACAGGGTGACTCAAAAAGATTAATGAATCAGTCAATTTATTATTGACCAAATTAAGAACGAGCCACCCCATTTTCTCGAAAATGTGAGTCTTTATAACAATAAAATAATAAGGTAAGAATTATAATAACTAACAACATTAAGGGCCGGTTTATAGAACAGCGAGTTAAATATTTAATCTTCGATTAGTTTAACAGAGAATTAAAATGTGGAATATGAGCCCGTGATTGGTTAAAATATGCGCGTTGCCTCGCAACGGACCTCAATTAAAAGTTAATCGCGAATTAACTTTAACTTCGCTTTCTATAAATCGGGTGTAGGAATATTTTCTTTAATTGAGTTTTATGAATATTTTAATCATGTGTTTTGAGGCGATAAACTCATTCAAATCATATAGGTGTCTAGGTGACATTCTTCCGATGTATAAACATCGACATTTTAAACAGTACGCATATTGCTCAGATACCACTATTTCCGTTGATAATGTGCTGTAAATATATTCTACAATGTCCGTACTTGTGCAGAGACGATTTATACGAATATCCTTGTGATGCTACACCTACACCCCTAGTTTTCAATGAAGGCAATTTAAACGCTGCCGGTTACATAGCGAA